GATCTTACTTAGGCCGATTAACATAGGGACAGGAAATTTCTCCCAAATTTACACATTAAGAAATGTATCCCCCACCCCACTACCACATGTACCTAAGTCATTTGTGGGAACTTGTTTCTTGCCCAAGGTGGTGGGGAGTGGGGGGATAGAGAAAGTTCTACCTGCTTTTTCTGCCTTAAATAACAGAAGAAAGTATGGTTTGGCCACAGACTCATGATAATCATGATAATTAAGACTTATACTCAAATAGCTCTTTATATCTCAAGAGGACTAATGTTAATTAATTATGCTTTCTGAAGCTCCTGAAGAGTTGCCAGAGCCGATCCTATTATCCTCCCCTGTCCTATGGAAGACTCTTTTGTTACAGAGAAAAGTGAAGAGATTCCCAGTGCTGCATAGCAAATTAGTGGGTCAGGCAGAAACGAAACGCAGACATCTGAATCCCCCTGTGTCTGGGCTCTGAGTTCAGCCTGCTGTTCAGAAAGCAACGAGGAGGAGGGCCTGGTCATCAAAAGGCCACCTCTTGTGTGCTAGAAAGCACTTTCTACCAAAAGCAAGAACAGCTTATTTGAAGAGAACAAATCTTTTGCTATTGCTTTATCATGTGGAATTCTTTGAAATATTTTTCAAGATCACACTAAACAGGCACTGTAAATAGAATTGGAAGAAAAGTCTTTCTTTCTTTTTAAGGGCATTAGAGAGGAACTAAAAGCTTAAAGGAAGGAAAAAGATGTGTGCTCCTGGCCTCCACCATTATTTTTATCTTGGTGTCAGAATGCAGAATGACTCCTACTGTCAGGCTACCTCCCTTCTCACCATTTTTTTAATGAATATTTTCATGAATATTTACATGAAGTCCTAAGATTTATTCATGAGTAGTAACTAAGTTAGAAGCTAGAAATGAAAAGGACCCCCACATTAGGTTGTTTGCATGGGACTCAGAGGATGGTGTAGTGCTTTGGTTAATACTGCGGAGAAAAGAGTGAAGGTGATTTTTACTTTTCACCTAAGGTTTCCTCTCTTGGAGGTGCAGGCATGATCTGTTTATCCTGGAGCTTCATTAGGAGTGCCTCCAGAGCTGTGATAAAGTCAAATTGCTCTTTTCACTTGGGGCCTCCCAGGCTGTGCTGTGGACCTGGTACTTGCTTCCTATAATTCCTCAGATAAAGAATGAAGAAAAAGTACACATGGCTCCTTAGGATGCCCATCAGACTTCAGAAAGCAGAATCTAACCATCAAATGAGCAGATCTGGGTACCTCATCCTGACCTTCTCTTGGTTGGGAAGGAGCTGTAGTTTTTACACCTGAGTGAGCTGTGAAGGGATCAGACAGCCTGCCATTTATTTGGAACGCCAGTGGGTCTCCATGTTTTCATATTTTATTTTATAGTTTCTCAGCATGAAGCTTTAGGGCTTGATTATACCTCTAGATCCCTGAATCTGATATTTCTTACTTAATGAGAACTATGCAGGTAGTGCTCAAGAAAATATAAGAACACCTTTCAGATCCCCACTACAAGAGCATGGCTCAAGTTGGATGCTCCTTATTTATTTTTTATTCATTCTCTTCATTTGATTATTTTTCTTCTCCTAGCCAGTGTTTGTCTTGCCTCACTTACTTTTTAGTCCTGAACATCTCCAATAGGGTTACCTAACTTTACCATATCATGGTACATAACAGTATATAATGAATGTATTTAAGTAAATGGAACCAGTTAGAAATTAGACTTAAAAATGTGCAGGGTATTTTCAAAATGTGGCCATTGCCAGAAGTTTAAAAGGAAAGTAACAGTTTTTCTGTGTCTGCATTTAAAATGAGTAATGTGACCCTTGTGTTTTCATGAGCTATAGCCTTATGCATCCTTCCATGTGCCAGTCTTAATAACCTTTGTACACAGAGAGGCATTTCTTCATTGTGGAGAGCAGATGTTTTAGCTAGCTTTTTCACTACCGTGACAAAAAGACCTGACATTTGGTTAAAAAAATAATTTTAAATGATTTAAACAATTATTAATTATTTAATTAAACAATTATTAAATAATTATAAAGGAAGAAAAATTTATTTGGGGCTCATGGTTTCAGAGATCTCAGTCCACAGATGGCTGAGTCCATTGCTCTGGGCCCTAGATGAGGCAGAACAGCATGGCAGAAAAGTATGACAGAGGAAGACAGCTCAGAACATGACCCCAGGAAGCAGAGAGAGAGACTAAGCTCAGCTCAAAAATATATATATCTATATACCCCAAAGGCATGCCTGCAATGACCTCCTTTATACACACCCTACCCACTATGGTTACCACCCAGTTAATCCTTCTCAGAGGATCAATGAACCATTAATTTCACCTTAAATTTCTTAAACTGTCTCACATATGAACTTTTGGGGGAAGCCTCATATCTACAAAATAATAGTAGATCTTCTTAAGATGTGGTGTGGTGTGCTTGGGAGGGAAAAAAACTATTATTCTTCCTCCTACGTTGCCTTTTTGCAAGTTTCATAATCTTATGCTGAATTTGCTTATTACTGACAAACAAAGTAATGTAACAGTACCTCTTATGTATCTGGAAACATGAAGTTAGGGAAAAAGAGTGCTTTTCAGAAAGTTTAAATGTAGCCTAATTGTTTTTCTGGTGAACTTGATAGAAAAGAAATGCACTGATACAAACCATAAGTCTGGAAAATGAACTCTTTTCTAGATTATGGGCTAACCTATTTATTTGTGATCCTACCCCACATCCTATTTTTCTATACCCCACATTTGCTACATTGAATTGATTTGATGCTCTTGGATCTTCCTAGGGGCTTTGTGTGGGTGGTGTGTTTGGGTGTTCCCTTTCTGTGATGCAGTGTATTAAGTCTCTGTGTTACTCATGAGCACTTAGGCCATTTAAGTGGCTGAGATAAACCTGGCTCTGAATTTCCAGTCTTTTTTGTTTTTATGGAATTGTATGTGTAAAAGCATGGTCAAGCTCATCCCAGGCCATAATCTCTGATCTGTAACTCCAGCTGTCTAATTGGAAGCTTTACAGGTGTGCATATGGAGAGCCCAGCCCACTTTTCCTGGCTCTGACCTCATCCCTCCCTTGGGTCTTGGATTAGAGGATGCTCACAAGGCTGGTGTGACCATGTTGGATTAATGATGTAGGGGAAAGGTTGAGCCAACCTTGGAAGAGAATTCTGGGTCCCTGGCACTTGCAGTGGGTCTATAGTTGAGCTACTGGAGGGTATGTACCCATGCAGACTCAGACTGTGTGGAAGGGTAGAGTGCAATCTTTTAAAATAATGGATTACTGAGCAGCTCAAAGAATGATTTACTCCCTCTGGGGCTCTTTCCTTCAGCAAGGGTAGTGAATCCCCTTGGAGATGGGAACACTGTTTGGTTTAGGGCCTTTTCAAAGGGAGAAGATTTCAGAGGATTGGTAGGTGCTTTGCAAATGACATTAAAAGGGCTGGCCCTGGGATCTCTTGATGCTTCATTCATTGAATCACCCCTCAAATTGAAGGGCAGCCCTGAAGTCCCTTTTCAGGGTATCATTTCAGCTATAAATAATTCTGACAATACATTTGGATATAGTGTAACTCAAAACTACTTTGAAATGGTATTGGAGATAATAAAAGTACTTCAATACAGTTGAAACTTACTGGAATCAATGACTGAATTGATGCAGTGCAGTCACAGGTGGATGCATAGGCTGTGTACTGCACAATTTCAGGTGGTGCTATTGACTTAGACTACAGTATAAAGGGTGCCCCTGGAGCAGTGCAAAGTGTGGACACACAGCAATACGCAGCATCCCTGAATTGAACTGCACAGCTATCCATTTAATTTTTTCCCTGGTTAAAATAGATATTCTTCTACTTGAAACGTGTTAAAATTCTAATTTTAACAGTGGGGCCCACTTTTATTTGGTTCTTCATTTAGCCTAATCTTGATTATTCACTGAGGAATTCATGAGCAGAAAACTGGCTCATTTCACTTTGTTTTAATGGCATTTTTCTTTTAAGGGTTCTGAAGTGAAATAAAAATTGAGTAAGCTTTATGGTTTGCAAGTTTTACTATTTTACATGGCAAGTAGTGATGAAAAGTATAGGAAAGTGCTTTGGAAATTCATTTTGCAATCCCTTCAATGTTATAACAAAATTTAATTTTATTTACAAGTAGGCTTTCATGTAGAGATCCAGTTAGCTGCAATCAGAGAATAAGTAGCAAATGGTTTTGTCACCAATTCTTATTGATGGTGAGCTAAAAAAATGTTTTTAAATGCTTTTGACAAGTTTCATGGGCATTACCTTTAAAAAAATATTCTGAACATCCTGGTGACTACAGAAAAATCCAAAAAAATTAAGTTGGCATACTTTTACATTGCTCTCCAATAACATTTTTTATAAATTTTTATACACATCATCAATGATTTGAATAGAGAAAGTATTTTTTTCTGTGTTGCATTAGAACAAAAAATGGGGGGGGGTTCTTCAGCCTTAGAAACCCTCCCTGAAGAAGAAGGGGAGAAAAAATTGTGCTTTAGATATCATTTTGCAGCATGTTAATAATATGTTCATGAATGCAAATGGCACTGCTATATATAGCTTGACAGTACCCTCTAAACCATCAGAGAATAACAAAAGTGGTATGGAAATTACCTGTCTCTTGAATAAAAATGCCAAAATTGCACTTAGCATGGCCAACTGTGTGTAATAGAAATAGTGTATATAAAAAAGCAATGGTCATAATTCACTGATCTCTGAAGTTTTCCCAAAGTGATTTGTGATTTCTCATTATTCTTTTCTTTGTTGGGGGGATGGAACTTAATTGGAGGGAACTGGGGAAGATAAGAGTTAACATGAAGCAAACTCAGACTTTGAGGTTATATTTACCTGTCCTGTTTATAATCTATTTGATTATGAAATGTTCAATATATATTAAATACATTTTAGTTGGTAAAGGTTAGTAATTTTTCAACTCCAAAATGCATACTTACAAATATTTGTTGTTTGCTTTTTAGGTGCAAACCCAAATTATCCGGATGTACTTTATGAAGGTAGCTATCATTTTCTCTTCATTTTGTATTTTTCAAAATGTTTGTGTATAATGAAATAAGTCAACTAAAAGAAGACTTCTAAATTCAGTTAAATATACACTTTAAGAATTACATGGACCAAAATAACATCTTCAGAAATCATTCAGTATTGATGGCCATTTTCCCTTGATATTTTCAATGCCTGTAAATAGCACTTTCTCTCTCACACTCTGTTCTTGGAAGTAGTAAATCCATTCTGCTGTAACAGACATTTTGTTTCCATAATTGGGAACTAATTACCTGTTTAAAAGCCATGACTACCAAGAAAAGGGAGGCATATCAGTTTCTGGCTATGACAGTAAACCCAATTCAAAATTGTTTCTTGTATATTGAGAAAGTTGAGCTCCTGTCAAACAGGAACTTCAAAGGGAGAGCTTGCTTTAGGATTGGTTAAACCTCAGCTTAGCCATATCATCAGGGACCCAAGTTCTTTTCATCTCAACATTCCCCAGACCATGATGCCAACTTCACCAAAGGCCGGTCCCTTTATGTTTGACCATGTGGTTGATAGGAGTTGATGTTGACAGAGGGACTTTTGCCTTTCACATTGATGGGAGGAATGGAAGAGTCATTTAAGAATGATTGAAAGTTATATTGGTTGAAATGTTATATTTATATATTTATTCTAAAAAATACTGTTTTTAAAAAAATTTTATATTTAAATATGATAGATATTTTCCCATAAAGCCATTGAATGTTTGCATGTTTATTATATATATGTGAATTTAATTTGAGACTAATTTAAACTGAGAATTATGTTGCTTTACCTGCTTATGTATGTCAAAGTATATTTCTTCTAAGTTGTGGTTGGTTGGTTTTGTGCATGTGATTTGCATATTTTTGCTTATATTTGCCCTGATATGCTTTAAAGAAAGAATATTTCAAATGATTTCACAAATATTCTGTTTGAATTGTGATTTTAGATTTTAAAATTATGTTTTGGATTTTTTTTTTAGTAACTTCAGGACTTTAAAAACGTCATCTTCCCACTGGCCTCAGATCCTACTTTGGGTCTTTTGGCCAAATGTCATGATATTAAACGACAGATTCTTTAGTGATCTAAATTTTGCCTGTGTGGTTAGCTATACTATGAAGAGGGAAAAACAATTGATGTATGCTCATGTTTGAAATCAGTAAATTTTAAGATATTCAAAATGAAATTGATGAGAATGTGGTTTTTGGCATCAAAGATAAAACAGCAAACAGAAAACAGGTGCTTTTTCTGTTACTTTTTATTCACATTCAAAGGAGCACTCTGCTAGTATAAAAGTAATTTAAATTGGTTGTCCTGAGTCCCACATGATGATTCTGTCTAGGAAATTTTAACTTGAGGCTGAGATAATGAGATCACTTGTTCAGGGTGGAAATTGAAGACTCTGTCTCTACATAGAATTAAAATACAGACATTAATAAACAACTTTGGGTACAATAAACTTACCAAGCATTCTATGTGATATTTTGTATGTGATATTACGAATAAAAATTTTGATTACCCACAACACTTCAGTCATCTATTTCCATCCTGATTCATGTAGTCTGAAATTAACCCAGAAAATGGCAATTGCCATTGAACTTGGTGAAAAGACAACATGGTTTGAAACTGAAATATTGGAAGCTTATCACTCTTTAAAAATGCCCCATTGCAGACCCACATCCCATATTGGTGCTTATAACATATTCCATATTAAACATTTTCCCTTCAGATAAGATGCTTGTGCCCTGGAATCTGTGTTGCTCAGAAATCTGGGTTGGTGTCTGGGTTCTGTCACCATTTTGCCAGGAGAGCTTGGAGAAGTCATTTCACTTTTCCAAAATGAGAGGCTGTCTTAAAGGTGCTGTGTCTATAAATCTGTGACCCTTAGGTGCTTGATTCTCCTTCATGTTTGTTTTTGAGATGCCATTAATAAAGGGGTATATTCTTAAAAGCAAAGGGAAAAGGCTACCAAGTTTAGAATTTGACCAACAAACAGTGATGTGAAGATCTGGGGTGAATAAAACTTTAGGGTCGGGCAGTCCTGATGCTACTGTGGATTTAACTCTTCAGCCAGACATCTCCACAGCCAGGCTGTGGGTGGTTCAGAAGCTCTGTGATTTGTACTGCTTCATTCTAGATCTTTCTGTGGCCTTGTGTGTGTGGACACCTTAATGACAATTTCATATTCCTTCTCTTTCCCTTTTTCTCCACTTTAAGATTGGACTGCAACAAATGACCTCGGTGATGCCATGAACAAAAGCTATGAAATCCCCACCACAATTGTCCCTGGCAAAACTAGTCAGGAACGTCTCTCGGTGAGTGTGATAACTATTTCTAGATTGGTTCTGAGAATTTTGGAAGCTCAAAGTGTTGTAGGGATGTAGCTCTTCCTATAAGACATTATTTTCATATGTAAACAGGTAATTAAATTTAGTTTGGAGGAGTTCATAAAAAGGTTTAAGAAAAGTGAAGATGCTATATAGCCTCTGGCTTATTTGCTTCTCCTTTTTTTCACCACTTTAATTGTTAGTGATTCTTATTTCAAATATCCGTGCTTTACCATGTGATAACTAGAAGATCAGGAATTTGTCATTCTCATTCAACACACTTTCACATTCTGTTTGATATTTTTTTAATTGGAGTGCCCCACCGAATGTAGGAATCTAGCAGTTTATGGAGGCTATAAAAATACAGATGAAAATCAGGTTTTACATTTAGAAGTTAGCATTTCATCCAGAGGCCCCAGATGTATAGTGGTATTTTATGTAGTCTGTGCAGGATGGCCAGGTTTGGACATAGAAGAATGGGAGGGAAGGGTGTTGATATGCATGAGTGAGAGCTCTCAGACTGGTAAGCATGACACAGGTGTGGACTGGAGGGTCTGGTGTATGCAGGGAAGTGGTAAGGTGGGAGACATAGGTCTTGAAGCACAGTCCCAAGGTAGTTTTCAGTTTTATTACACAGTGAAGAGCCACCAAAGGGAGAATCACATATCTCAGGCATCTTGATAGGATTGGTGTTTTCTGTTGCTCTGGTCAAAACCTAACAGTTTCCTCCATAGTTTCATCTCATCACTTGTCACATGCATACAGCCTGCTCGTCCTGTGAGCTCTGCCTCTTTATATATTACCCCCGCCCCCTGGCATATCTTTCCACCTCTGCTGCTGTGGTTGTAGGCTAACCCAGGGTGTGGCAAACTAGGATTTATGAGTTTAAGTGTGGCTTGCCACCTATTTTTTTTTTCTGCTTACAAGCTAAGAATAGTTTTTATATTTTTAAAAAAGAGCAAAAGAATACTGATGTTTCATGGCCTGAAAATTTTATGAAATTCAAACTTCTATTTCCATCAAGTTTTATTGAGATGTGATCATGCCCATATTATACATTATCTGTGGCTACTTTTGGTGGGTGGAATCATTGCAACAGAGACAATATGGTCTGAAAACTGAAAATGTTTACTATCTGGCCCTTTACTGAGAAAGCAAGCCACAGTTACTCTTTCCTGGAGGGTGCCACATCCTCCTAACCTGCCTCACTCATCTGTATTTATCAACTTCTGATCTTTATCTACACAGCAGCTTTAGTGACTTTTATAAGCACAAATGAGATCACTTTCTGAAGTTTTATTTTTAATTGTCAAGTAATAATCTCATATATTTATGGGGTGTGAAGTGCAATTTCCATACATGCATACATACACTATGCAATGATCAAATCAGAGTAATTAGCATATCTATCACTTCCAACATTTATCATTTCTTTGTGCTGAGAACACTTAAAATTCCTTTTTTAGCTTTCTGAAGCATACAATACCTTACTATTAACTGTAGTCACTGTGCAATGCAATAGATTATATAAAAAGCAGAATTTATTCCTTCTAACTGGAACTTTGTACCTATTGAACAACCTATCCCCTTTTCCTTTCCACACCTTTCCCTTTCCACACCTTCTGATAACTAATTTATTATGAGAATTTTTATTTCTAATTTATTATAAGAATTTTTATTCCATAAACAGCATAAGTGAGAACATCCGGAATTTGTGCCTGGCTTATTTCACTTAACACAAATGCCCTTTATATATATATATATATATATATATATA